TTACAATCAAATACTTTCATGTAATCAATACTTTGGGGCTAAATTATTTAGATGAACTGCAACATGCCTAAGATTTGTGGAATCAGAAGAACAATTACCCCACCATTTTTGTACAACTTGGTATTTTCATAGCTTTTAGATTTGGGTATTTATTTTTCATAGGTTGTAAAATTATTTATTACTTTTCTCCCTAATATCTTCTTAGCATTGTAGTTTTTTCATGTGTTTTTTTATCTGTGATAAGTCACTTTTAAAAAGTATTTTGCACAATTTTCTTAACCTGTTTGATTCTAAGGCTTTGAAAAAAATGATTGAATTATTCTGTGGGTGATACAATGAGATTTGTTTCTACAGGGAAACTTTGGTCTTCAAATGAGATGTGGAATTTATTTTAGTTACTTAACCATCAGTAGAAATTAGTACAGGTTGGGATATGCTGTTTAATTTATTAAATTTATTTTGGAATTAAATTTTAACAAAGCTTTGTAATTTAATTATCTGTGGAATGAAAACAATATGACATTATTCAACATTTGTTTGAATCGGTATCAGTGTTTGGCCATTGGTTATTTAAATGGGGACAAGACAATCAATTATTTTATTGGATATTTATTGGTTTATTTCATATGACTGCAAAGTCATAATGATATTTTAAAAAAACAAAATGGTTGTCAATTAAATGATCATCTGGTATTGGAACAATTCTAATTCCTTTAGACAGCTATCTATTCTTTAAATGGTTACCTGACAGTTTCTCATTTGGATAGTTCTTATTCCTATAGACATTCATGTGCAATTTAGACAATTATGAGCTCATTTAGCCTATTGTAATAATTTTTGTAGACACCCAGATGTCATTTAGAAGGTCTCCTGTCATGGATATTTATAATTTCTTAGAGACATTGCTAGTTGATGTAGACACTCTGTAGCAATATCGTTTCACTTAATTACTTTTTCTTCACTTTGTAATTGAAAACAAAAAAATTTGCTTGAACTAGTAGCATTTCTCTTCAAAGTTGTGTATACTCTCACCAAATCTGTACTTGTCATTTAGTTGTGACTTATCTCTTGATTAATGAAGCTTCCCTCCACTGACATGTATGAAAAATTGTTCTGTCTAAAAAGGTATAAGCACCCTGAGGAGACTCTGCTATTCCTTCTCTCTACCACATCAGCTGTGTGTGTGTGTGTTTGCATTAAAACAACTCCTGTTTACATCCACCTTACATTGAAGCAGATATTTCATTCAGATGTACCCCTTCCCTTTCAATGGACTTTTTATGTCCATAATAAACTTAAGAACAAGAATCCTCCTTGACATGTCATTTGTTTCCTGTCATTTGTAGCTCACAGTTTTGTATATTTATACTTAAACTATCAACTTTTTTACCAAATTCAGCATTCATAAATAAACTCAATTAGTTCAGCATTATAATTCACGTGATTGTTTTTTCACAGCTTAACATTCCAAAACCCATTGTGAAACTGCACTTGATTTTTTTTTCCTTTAATATCTTTTCTTGTGAGAGAGATGAAGCAATGAGATTTTTTTTTTTTTTTTTCTCCTTTTTTTTTTTATTTGTCAATAAAATTATTTTTATTGTAATAAAAAAAAAGTCAATGATCAGCTCTTGAACAAATGTGTGTTTGTAAAATAGCAGTCCATTTTAAAATTGTTCTTTTCACTTGAACATTGTGTACCTTAAGATTTTAGAAAATAATTTTATGTTGCAACAATTAAAGTCTAAAAAATATCAGTCACTTCTAGTTTAATAAAGGCACGTTTCTTATTCCTGATGCTAGGACAAATTCTTACTTGTGCTCCTTTCTCCCTAGTTCCATTAGAGAATGGATTAGGTTGCCTAAAGCAGTCCAGAAAACCAGTGACTTAGCTGAATTAAAGTCTCTAATTAACATGCAGAACTAGATCAGCACAAGGGTATGCAAAGGAAATAAGTATATCTTTTTGAAAAGAATGCCTGTAAGTTATAAGATAAGATATTTTAACCAAAGTTTACACCAACAAATCTAAGAAATAGTCTTTTACAACTATTACTTTGTTTTGTTCTTTAAGTTTCTGATATACAGTAAGAAATGAAAATTATTGCATTTGTGACAATGTTAGTTCAGTGTACAATTTATCAACTTTGCACATGGGTTTGTATAATATCAAAATACAAATAAACCAGCTCTCAAAGTGACACAGCTTTTAACTTGATTGAAATTTATTTCAAACTCAGCCCACAGAATTACAATGTAACAACAATATAAATCCTTATGTTAAAATGAATATGAAATTACAGTGATAAATGTATAAACTATATAAATACTAGTACAATCAATTGACAGTAACTGATCTGAAAATAATTGGCCATCTAATTGGTGAGAAATATATCTGCTTTATTTAGGTGACTCACTGTCTTAACAGCTATATGGCCATCAAATTGGTGAGAGATAGATCTGCTTTATTTAGGTGACTCACTGTCTTAACAACTATATGGCCATCAAATTGGTGAGAGATAGATCTGCATTATTTAGGTGACTCACTGTCTTAACAACTATATGGCCATCAAATTGGTGAGAGATAGATCTGCTTTATTTAGGTGACTCACTGTCTGAACAACTATATGGCCATCAAATTGGTGAGAGATAGATCTGCTTTATTTAGGTGACTCACTGTCTTAACAACTATATGGCCATCAAATTGGTGAGCGATAGATCTGCTTTATTTAGGTGACTCACTGTCTTAACAACTATATGGCCATCAAATTGGTGAGAGATAGATCTGCTTTATTTAGGTGACTCACTGTCTTAACAACTATATGGCCATCAAATTGGTGAGAGATAGATCTGCTTTATTTAGGTGACTCACTGTCTTAACAACTATATGGCCATCAAATTGGTGAGAGATAGATCTGCTTTATTTAGGTGACTCTTACAAATATTTGTTTGAATTAATGAGTGTTGCTTTTTGTTTTTCAACTAGGAAAACATTTTGAATAGAGAAACCTGTTAGAACTGATCAAAGACTGAATGTGTCCAATTTGAACTTGTGCTTTCTCCTTGGTGAAACCATAGATTATAAATACCAGGATATTTTCTGTGCTAAAACAAAACATGTTGAAGAATCATACTCAATGAATACTCCCATTTAGAGATTTTGAAAAGAGTTGTTAATTAAGTTAATATAGAAATAAATGTATGTACCCATTAAGATATGAATAATATTCACCTGATTTAGGCACTGGTTGAGATGTGATATGCTGTTCAACTGTAGATAGGTTTACAAATAGAACTGCGAAATGCATTGCTTCAATAAAAACAAAATGTTTTTCCTAATTTGTACATTGCTGTGTGTATAAAAATATTTTTGTTTTTACAGAATAAAGAAAATCCAGAATTAAATGAATCATTGAAAGTTTTGTAGATGTAATTTTTAAAAAATATTTTTTCTTGTTGACATTATTTGTCTACAAACCTGTTAGGTCAAAGGGCAAAACTAGTCCAAACTTCAGTCTCTCCCTGTAAGTAAAATCTCTGTTCTAACTAATAGTGTATGCCAGTGTTTCCCAACCTGTGTTCTAACTAATAGTGTATGCCAGTGTTTCCCAACCTGTGTTCTAACTAATAGTGTATGCCAGTGTTTCCCAACCTGTGTTCTAACTAATAGTGTATGCCAGTGTTTCCCAAAATGTGTTCTAACTAATAGTGTATGCCAGTGTTTCCCAACCTGTGTTCTAACTAATAGTGTATGCCAGTGTTTCCCAACCTGTGTTCTAACTAATAGTGTATGCCAGTGTTTCCCAACCTGTGTTCTAACTAATAGTGTATGCCAGTGTTTCCCAACCTGTGTTCTAACTAATAGTGTATGCCAGTGTTTCCCAACCTGTGTTCTAACTAATAGTGTAAACCAGGGTTTCCCAACCTGTGTTTTTGAAAAGGTGTTCTATGGACATTTAGAGTTATTGAATAAATAGTAGGCCAAAAAGTGACTTAATTACAAAATATTTTCTAAAAATTGATCTTCTTTGTAATGAAAAAAAAACCTTTGGCGACATCACTATGAAGTTTAAACTGATCAAGATTCTATACACTAATCTGAAACAAAGATCAATCATTAACTATTTAACTGTAAGTAGAAATTTTTAAATTACTCAATAATTATGAAGTGATTGTTCTTAAATTTGTTTATAAAATATATAGTCACACAGCACAAGTTTATGTGAGAAAATTCAGTTTAATAGGATAATTAAAAGTTGAAATTAATTATTCAAATTTTTTTTTAACCTTTAGTTAATTATGACAAAATGTGAATTAATAGTAGGAATTGAGATAAACATTAAAAGATAGTTTCTAATAAGACCACATCTAATTTATACAACGTATAGAGCAATAATTTTTCTCTTAATAACTAATGAATGTTTGATGAAAAAACATTTGGTAATTCCCGAAAAAGTGATTGTCCTTTCGAAGCACTATAAGTCATTTCTAGGAAAATTGTTTGAGCCGTTTACAAGATCAGCATTGACCCACCCTCCATGAAGTTCTGACTTCAATAGAGGTCTAAAAAAACAACAGAAAGATCAATAATATTAACCGTTTTTTGCTGCTGAACTCTAAGTTCTTTTTTATCTGTACCTTAGAAAAGTATGTTGTTCTACTTACTGCCTACAGTGTGTAGGTTATACTTGAGGCTCTCTCTTTAGATCTCAGTTATTGTAGTTCTTCTTGTGTTATTCCATCGCATCAGATTTTGAAAGTGATATCAAGTTCTCTCAAGAGTTACCTTCACTTATCTCAATTGTACACAATGACAAATTACTTTTGTTTTGTTTCTTTTGAGACTAAGAAAACTTTTGTCCTGATTTGAAGTAAAAGGTGGGACCAGTTTTTTTTTCAAAAACTTTTTCATTCCATTATTTGTTGCAATTTAAAAAAAAAAAAAAACACAAAAGAAAACAGAGAAAAGCCCCTTCCCCAATAACAACAAAAGTCCAGATGTTTGTTTAAAGTTGTACATGTATTTCAAATCTTGTTCTTAAAAACTGAAACAATCCAAAGTGATATGCAATCATGAAAGTTTCTATGCTTATAGATACACCATTTGTCCAAGCATCCAGTAGCAGATCTTCTTCTTCTTTGAACAATGAAAAAAAAAAACCCAACAACATAAAAATGTACTAGTTTAAAAAATACACTCACTTGTCACACCAACTTTCAACATTGTATATATAATTTATAGAGTCAAAAATATCAATAAAAATTTTCTTTTTCTCATAAACTTAAACTTTTTGTCATGAACAAAACATCAGAATATATTTATGTGTATATAGATAATGAAATATTTTGTTACTGTGCTAAGGGACATATAACGGACAACATCCACTGGGCAACCCTGATATCTGGATAAGGCCTGATAACTTGGTATATCTTTCCTCACTTTAGTTTCCAAAAGTGACTTTGGTTTGAATAAAATAACATCAGTGTACAAGATCAAATGGAACAAAAAAAATAATATAAACATGATTACATCTAGGAATAAACACTTAAGGAAAAGTGGAAACAGAAAAGTTCAATGGTTGTATAAATCTAGAACATAAGACATCAACATATCATTTCATTTCAAGACAAAAGTACATATACAGAAGTGAATGTATAGATATTAATTTGTAATCTACATTATGTTCTGATTCATTAGACAAGGGTAATAACTATAGTATTAGCCCCCGAAAACACTAATCCTTGATCAAAACTAGTAGAACTTCAACATTTTGTTTTTATCCAAGACAAAGAATTAGTTTTATATAATTAGTGTTATATCCTGTGAATAGAATAACAGTACCTATATCTAATGCAATTGAATGATTGAAAATAAAAATAAAGCTGAGATAGACATTAAAACCCATTAAAATGTTGTCATTGTAGTTTTTTTTTTTATAACAAAAATTCAGACTTTATGATTTTTCCAATGCTTAATGCACTTTTGATAGCAAAGCTGACAGACGTATAAATCACATTTTAATGACATCAGAACATGTACAAATAAACTGTTTTTCAAATGAAATTAAAGTTTCATGAACAAAACAAAAAAAATAAACAGATTGTCGAATGATGCTGAAGTAAAAAATATTATTCAGGTGTCTACAATATATTTAATGTCTTGAACATTATTTAATGTGTGTATATATATATATATATATATATATATATATATCAGTCAACCAGTCCCATTCTTGTGCCAGGAACATGAACTCAGTGACAGGACAATCCCCTGGTCTAGACACAAATGAAGCGGCTGATGAAATAAATTCTTGAACCAAAAACATATATAACTATTGGGTTAATTTTTTGTTCAAATTTCTGAATAATGTCTAACTTCATAGTCACTGGAAAGCAAAACTTTTAATGTCTGAGACTGGGTCAGTAAAAAAACTTTGACTGAGGTAGATGGCATGAGATTGTTCTTCTGTCAATATTTGGTCTAAACAACTTTTCGAGATCCTCATACAAGTCTCAACTATGCTAGCAAAGACCCACACAAAAATCAACTACTCTATCCTCAAATATGACCAACACAAGTAATAAAAAGTCAAAACTGCTATGTTTACATCAGCTTTTCAAAGTAAACCGATTTCCACTAGAACCTCAAAAAACTGAATGCAACGCATCACCTTTTTTTTCCCCCTCACTTTGTGATGTACAAGGTCTAGAACTTTGAAAACAATAAAATGAGAGACCAATAGCCTTAAAAAGACAAATGACAGTCTTTAATATTGATGACATGGCCCAGACAAACTGCTCTTCAGTAGAGACACAGCAGTGACAAAATTCTTTAAACTTTTTAGCTCTACTAATTAAAAAAAAACACATTTCAGCTGAGATCAGACAGTACAACATGAGCAGCAAGGTTTCTTTTTGAAAAGGTCAGTGTTAATTTTTTTTACAGAACATATAACAATCATTGTTCAGAACACATAGAAACATGTCCATTGTTCAACACTAAATGTCAATATCATTAGAGTTGTATGAGTAACTTACAAAGACAAATAAAACATAACTTTTATTTTTTCTTATCACCAAAAAAAAAAAAACAAAAAAAAAACAACCTAAGCTTTGACTATTTCCCATGTTAAACTTTCATTCAAGTTTCAGCCTGTATGTCTCAAGTAAGAAATCTTTTTTTTTTCTGTGAAACAAGGGAATTTCTAATGAAACATTCTAATATTGTATTGACTTGTGTTAATTAAAACAAAGCAAGAAAACTGATAATATAGAAAATTATTAGATAAATAATTTGAGTAATTTCATTATTCTCAAGTTTTTAATTATCCAGTCTATTTCAGTTTAATTTCCATCAATGAAAAATGCTAAAAGTGGTTATAAAAAAGTTTCAATCCCCTAAAAGCTAGAGATAAAATGTGTAAATGAAATAGACATTTGTATGTGTTTATCTTCCTTCATTGTTTTAACAAAACCACTTAAGTCATCTTTAGCAGTTAAAACAGAGTCAATAGATGTCAATTAATTAGTTAAATATAAAATATATTAATAAACTATTTGGCCAAAGCCTAAACATAAGTCTAAAATAAAAATAAAAATGCCTCATAACATTTATCTCAAAAATGAATTTCTTGGACAAGTTGTTTCTCACTTTCTATCTACACAAGATCAGCATGTAGTCAGTCTTCAAGTCAACTATAGACATCTACCTACACAAGATCAGCATGTAGTCTTCAAGTCAACTACAGACATTGTTCTACACATCTCCTATAGCAAGACAAAACACATTATAACATACAAGGAGCAGTGATGTATTGAAAGAAAAAAAAAAGTCCAATAACAAAGTCACTGTACATGATTATGCTTGTAGTCAACTGTTTAAGGTGACTGAACACAACAGTCGACATGGTGAGGGCAAATATAAAACTGTACAAGTGGGAACTCGCTCCAACTAAGGTTGCAATCTTTACTTTGGCATAAGACCACCACAACCCAGTTGAGAGGGTTGTCATCTATTAGAAAACAACCAAACCCAACTCACAGGCTCATAGGTTCTCAAAAGATTAATCTCTTAGAGTCACATAAGAGATAAGCATATAAAATACATGAAATTTATTGTGAGATAGTATAAAAATTGGAATCACTAGGGTAATATTTAATATCTAGTCATGTCAATACATACATATAGCATGGGGTCAATGAGGAGGGATGGGGGAATGGCTGAATGATGGGGAGAATGACCCAGGAAATAATCACGAGGATTGCAGGATAGGATTGGGGGGGGGGGGGGGGGGGGAGTGAACAAAAGAAAACCCAAATATCTAAATTATTTTTACATTTCTTTTTTTTTTTTTATTCCAATCCTTTATTTTGTATCTAGGTTAGTTATGTAAAAAAAAAAAAAGACTCAAAAAGAGTGTGTATGCAATGTTTTGGAATCTCTAGAGAAGATTTGGTACTAGTTGAAGTTACCAACTTATCTGATCTAGACACTAGAAGCACAGACATACCTGACTACTATGTTTAGAGTTGCCACAAAAGTTGTATGACTAGTATGTGCCACAATCAATTCCCTTATTTAAACAAACTTTACTTAACCAAGTTTATTTCCTTTTGGTCCTCCATGAAAGTACAGATTTACCCAGGGACATGTACAAATATTTCAATAAAGACAAAAAAAATCTTCTATCACAACCACTAGTCTAAGTATCTTTCATTGAAATACACGTAGTCATATTGAACAAGAGACAGATGTTGACAACAGGTCAGGGGTTAAGTCATGTGGTTGTGACAAAAACAAATATCCATTCTATACAAAAAAACAACAACAACAACAACAATATAATCTCTAATTAATACATAAAATATAAACCACATTGGAAAAAAAAACTCTTGGTAGAGTTTTATTATCTTTCTTTGAAGTTAATTGATAGACTGATAGAAATGAAATCACTGTGGACACTTGTCATGACTCCAGAATGTTTATAAATAGCTTCAATGAAAATGACTATTATGGAGGACCATGTTTTAGTTCAATGGTCGAATATACAAACAACCAATGAGTGGAACTAATAGGTATTTCTAGAATATACTTCAAGTCATGTCAATTATTTACATCAAACTAAGATGCTAATAATTTTATAAATATATATTTCCTTGCTTCCAACTCAGATCTAGTGAACTCACTCTTGCTATAAATATCTGACATCCCTGACACTATCTTCAGCATTTTTCTATTGAAAATAGTTTCCCCAGATTTTTCCTTCTTACAAGTCAAACATATTTTGTGGAATAAAACTGATTCTATGAATGAATGAATAACACTTGGTGAGACCATGGACAGCAGTGGATTGAATGCAAAAAAAAAAAGTAAAAACGTTTCTAGAAGCAATGCGTGCAAGTAGCAATCATCTGGGTTAGCTAGAGTTTCAACATCAACAGTTTGAGACTAAGTATTGTGATCAAAGATGTGTGACAATCATCTGGTTGACAGACATTGTTACTATGTACAGTTTAAGTAGAGAGTTTCATGTCCAGTCGTGGTGCTCAGAGCAAATGTTGAATTGTTTAACACACTGTTTCTGAACGCTTGTGGTCCAAAGATCACCAATTTCAGAAGCCATCTTCTTTGTGGTTCTGGAGGCATGGTGAATTCATAATGCTATGTAAAGATGCATAGCAAAACTTCAGAAGTGGTCATAGACTGGGAATTAAGTGGTCATTGAGTCAAGCAAAGATTTGTTGGTCTATCATTCGACAAAATCAATGTCAACAATGCAAATTTTTCATAATCCAAAATTGAATGATTTGTCCACCATTGCTTATAACATTATCTTATCTTTTTATCTTGTAACTCACACCAAAGTTAAGAGGTTTTTCATTCATTCTTTAGCTTATTAACAAGGTTTGGAAAAAACAAAACTTGGGTATTCTATAAAACAAAGTCAAATCTGCCTAACTTATTGTAAAGAGCAGGACAAAGTCATGTCAACAAATTTAGAGAGCCCCTGAGAGAGAGGCATCTAATGGTGGCGTATGTGACATCATGTGGGGGCGGTGTGGTGTTGGGAAAACTGGTCCAGAGTCAGGCAGCTGGACGATGAATGGTTTGGAATTTGGGCTGGACAACTTCTCACTATCAAGCTCTTCTTCTTCCATGTGATCAAGTCTTTTGTTCGGTTTTCCTGAGCTCAGAAAACTGGAATCTTTTCCACCACTGAGGGCATGACAGTTTTCCTGATTTCTTTGGTCCGTTGGGCTGGAGTAGTGCTGGTCACCTGACCCAGGTCTGATAAACTGTTGGTCACCTGACAGCTGTCGTTGGCACTCTTTGTTTTCTGTGGAGTTCAAGGGAGAGAACTGCACAGATGAAAAGTTTGATTTGTTGGAGTAAATGTTGTCAGGGTGAGAGCGGTATCCATTGGTTACGGCAGACCTCTCTCGCTTCATATCTTCTGCCTGTTCCCGTTCAAATTTCTCTTGAACAGCTCTCAGCTCCCGCTCTGCCTCAGTCTCAAATCTTTCATTGGTCGGTTTCTCTTCAACGTAGCTTTGTCTCTGGTCCCCTTCCTCCATAGAGTCATGGTCATACTCCAAGGAGCTGCGTCGTCTTTCTTCGCTGTTCATAATTTCCCTCTCCTCCTCCTCCATTCTCCTGACCTCCTCATCATCTTCTTCCAGGTCCTCTCGACTGTCATAGTGGTCAATCATATCTGGCATCATAATCATTTGGCCACCTTTGACCTCAATGCCTCGAGGATCTTGATGGTCAACTTCTTCATGCTGTGGAGATGATGATGAGCGATGACGGGACCTAGACATAGGATGTGGGCTGCTGAATTCAAAGTCAGCATAAGCATCCTGCACCTCCTGTTTGATTCTCATCATCAGATCAGGGTCATCAAATCTTCTATAGATAGAAACAAAAAAAATGGGTCATATATATTTGCTAAAGTTTAGGAAATTAAATAAATCCGCAAAAATGTATTACATGATACACTATGAAATAGAAATGTATTATTAAATGACTATACTATATTTTACCTTAGCTGAAATAACAAACAAGTTTAGCATGTTAAAAAACAAAATCTTGTTACAGAATCAAAATTGGAATGCACTGATGACTTACCCAAGTAGTCCATCATGTGATGACCCTTTCATGGATAAGTCCTGGGCCCTGTCCTGGTCAGGCAACATACTGTGGC